GTTATTAAATATTCGTCAAATATAACTGTTTGTATGGTGCCATTGTTTCACGAAACGACTGAATTATCAAGGGAATTTCTAAATGATTGATTGAAAGTTTGATTTTGCAGATGAAGCTTTTATTACTTACTCCTGAAAATTGTTCATTTTCCTATTGTTTTTTTAAAGAATGTGCTTGCCAAACTATGGAAAATTAGAATTCTCAAAGGAATTGCAAGATATTAGGCATTCATAGTTAACAAAAATTAAATCAGTTGGCTTCCATTTCTCCCTCGAAGACATGTCGAACATAGAGGAAAGCGCTATTGTTTGGGCGAGTGTTCCACAAAGTATTCAACAAAATGGGCCGCAACCTTATTTTGCGACTGGCAAAAAGACCGTGTGAACAAGAAATCCATAAATGAGAGCACCAGTTTCAGTTTCAAAAACAGCGAGTCATTCCAAGATGCTGACACTAGTCTTCATGACATGAACGCCGAGTCGTTGATTTTTTGGATTGTCAAATTCATACAAGACCGGGCGCCAAGAAAAACGGCGAAGCTTCTCTGACGATCGAGTAAATCACAAGGAAACGAACATAGCTACCACATTCATTTTTCAGTGTGTTTTAATTGTGTTTGATTGCACGCGAGTTTAGACATTTTGAATATTTTCAGGGGAGTGCGGGGCTGATTATTACTCAACGTTTTCCTGATACAGACTTAATTAATAAAACATTAGTTCTGTATCACTGATACAGAACTAATGTTTTATTAATTAGGTCTGTATCAGGAAAACGTTGAATGATAATCAGCCCCGCACTCCCCTGAAAATATTCAAATCCGCCCCCAACTTTGAGCTTGCTGCACCTTTTATCCAATATAAAGGTATAATCACGTGATTAGATTCTCAGTATATCATTGGCTAATGACACTATGAATTATTAATGAGTTTGATAAAAGTTTATACAGTCCCTAGTCACAACTGTTACTCTAATAAAACGTTTTACCTATAATTCTTATATTCGATATTCTCTAATGACTTACCTAAATACAATACACAATAATTAATGAAAGGTCCCTTATGTTAAAATGACTCACTTTATCTTCGAGTGAAATGTTTGATATTGCGATAACGGAGTATACAATATTGCTCAATAAAACAATGTCGTTCACACCAAGAAAAACCGAAAAAGTTTTCAATAGAATCTGACACCATTGAGTTTTCAGTTTCCCGAAGTTCTAGTTAATTAGTTCATTTTATACGTTGCCTCCCCCTCTACAAGCACATAAATTTAAATAAATATTACGCAGTCCCTAAAGTGAGGCTGTAGAGGGAAAGGAGGAGGGGGGATGGGATGTGCGGCGAGTGGTTCGCTAGTCACATCCCAGACTCTCTAAAGCTGGACTTCGCTCCACCTGTTTCCTGTTTGTGTTTATGAACTCATTACTATTGCGCAATTCCTGTGTGGAACGTTAGCCATGCCTTTAGACTTGCCACACGTTGGACGTCTCTTTGAACTTAATAAAGGAAATTTTGAGAAAGATTAAAGCGATCACGGAGCGCGAGTGTTAGGGAGCTAAAAGAGAATTAATGAATATCTATCGTGCCTTTGATTTCCATCAATATTTGGGCTTGCGATTGTAGTTTTATGTTCGAAATGTGAGTTGAGTTGATTAATATTTGTTACTGTTTTTGTTTTACTTAGAACTAAAAAAGGAGTTTCGACCTTCTTTACTGAAAGTGGAAAAGATAAAACAAATGAAAGGTATTTTGGCGAAACGTCCCATTTATTTAAAAAAAGCATTCGTCAGTTTTGGCGGAGAATGTGAATAGAAAAGCTCATTTTATATAAACGTTTTTGGTAAAGACGAGCAGTAAGACAAAGACATACCAAAAGATCGGTTGAAAATATCTCACTCATTTAACTTAATTCCCCGAGATTTTAAGCGGTTTTGGTGTCTTTGTTTTCCCATTTCACATCCCTTTCTTTTGTAGCTCCCCCTCCCTTTCCCACGTTTGTTCTTTCCCATTCTGATCTCTTTCAATTTTGTCTCTCTCCAGCGGCACAATAGCGACCTTGAGGTATTGCAATCAAGTAATGACGATGGTGAGCTTAGTCTTGTCAAGTAACTAATCTTTATTGATAACTTAGCTGTTTACTCTATGTTCRGATCAAGTCAACACCCCACTGATTTGACTAATCCGATCTCACTTGAGACGCATATTAGATTCCGGAAATAGCTTGTTTATCGGCAGTGCTTATACACAAAGGTTCTTTTGTCTGTCAACCACCTTTTTATTAATCCTAAAGCACCGTGAACATTAAATTTGTTGTGCTTTTAATATTAATGCGATTTTGATAGGGTTTTGATAGACTAGTTAAATTCCATGTCGAATAAGAAATATTGCGCAAATAAAATAAGGGTACTGGATTATAAGGAAGATCAATGTGTGCATAACTTTGATAAGATCATAGTTTATTTTTTTCGCTCTATGTGTTTATGTTATGTGTTAGTTGTTCAGTCAATTTAAATTGTTCTTGAGGAATAATAATAATGCAACAGGAAGGCTTAATGTTCATAATGAGCTCAAGAGGCTGACAACAACAAGGGATTAAGAAACTTCATTGAAGACGTTTATTAAAAGTTTGAAACCTTTTTCGAGATCAWAACAAATTCATAGATGAAAACTAGGTACTGAGCAATAGCGAAATCTCGATATTCTCACGGTAGTACCGGTACGGAAGCTTCATCATCAGAATCTTTAGCTCCTTTTGCATTGTTTTCTTACTCTCCCTCTCTGTTTTTTCTACCGCTTGTCTTGATTTGACTTCATTCGTGGTTTGATTAAGTCAYGAATAAGAACACACTCACGGGAAATTCTTATATGATAAAAAAGCAGTCAGGCTAAGAAATATGTCTGCTTGCAGCTTTGCCCAAATCTCGATCAGCTAGTCATTTCAAATTCTTTTCTGATGCACACAAGAATTTTGGCCATATACTTAAAAACTAAATTATCTTTTCGATTTTGTCACCTCTCATGTCCAATTTATTCTGCTTTTCAAATAATGTGGAATAACGTAGCTTTAGACAAAGAGGGCCAGCTCGCTCCGACAGGCTAATTGAAGTCCACCTATATCATTTAGCTTGTTTCTATAGATCATCATCAGGTTTTTCAATGCGATCGTAAAAAAAACACTTTCTTATCTTAGCCGCGGTATTTGATAGTGGAGATGAGACTATGATAGGAAGATTTCATGGATATTTTTTCTGTATTGCTTTATATCGATTGGCAAAGAGAATGCGTTCGATTGCTATATAAATGATAACAAAGCAAACCTTCCTCTACAGAATATTGGATTTTAGATCGAAATGAGCTAAATAAAAATACATAAATCTTAGCTTGGATCTTTTTATGGATTTTAAATCTTCTTATTTTAGTTTATTACGGCGGCTCAGACGAGACAGTTTTCTTTTTGGAACATGAGGCGTTGCCGAGTTATTTCAAAATGAGTGAGTCTGCAAGGATTCATCTGTGAAAACTGTGAGTGTTTTCAATCCACCTCTCCGTGTATTATTGGTAATGACGATTTGAATCACACCAAACGTACTTATAGAGACGGCAAAGCAATGGATGATTGGTGAAATCAGTAGCAATAAACGTATATAACGATCAGCTAAACAACACCAGAAAAATCTAAAGGACGAGAAAAAGCTGGACTTCATCACGATTTATTTGCATGACAGCAAGTTTTTTTAGCTTCTATCAAATTTTGAAATTTCAATAAACCAAAAAAGCAGTCAAAAATTACTTGAAATGAATGTGATATAGATGTAGCGGAACTAGTCCATAATACCTTTCGAAACTGTTTTAGACCGCAAAGCTTATCTTTGATAGCGGGCGACTTTTAACACTGCAGGCTATTTCAGAAACTGGCTTGCCACCCTTAAACCCTRAAGTTATAAAAAAACTTGAAAGTAAAGCTTTCCAATTTTCCAAACCGACTTAATGTGGAAGATTGATGTGTAGGTGGACAGCTCATGACTATGGGACAATCCGAAATCACTAGTGCTAAAACGAGAGCTGTTATTAAGAAAAAGTATATACCAGTAAGTTATCATTTTTGTGGCTAATATAGTATTGCTAATGAGAGAACAGTATGGGCGTATTAAAAAGACTAAAAAAACCGTGGCTTCATACAGAGACCAAAAAAGTCATGATCGGTGATAACGGATTTCGCGGTGGTTTGACCATCTGTACTAATGAGCCGTGCTAGAATTCCTACATTAATAAAGTTATAAACAATACACAAAACTCACAAATAATCTTCCTTCTATTATATTGAGCTTGTCTTGACTTGAAATCTGGCCGGCTGTCGGCACAAAGGAAAACAACAAAAGACTTCAAATGAAAAAGTGCAATAGAACGTTTGATCGGTAACTAATCGAGAAATTGAACACCTTTGAGTTCATTTGATAATAGTCATATCGCCTGCATCTGTACTTCTCATATAGTTATACTACGATAACCTGGCTTTGTTCATTAGCGAGGAGCATATAATTTTGATTTTATATCGCGGCTAACATCAGTATCATTATGAACCATTGTTGACACAACACTTGCCCGTATCTCTACATATCTATCSAGATCGAGTGGAAAATTGGTGCCACTCAATTTTCTAATAAAAAATCACCTAACKTAGGTGATTCAACGAAATGTCTTTGTCCAACACATGTCCCTTCTTTTCGCTCCTTTCCTTCACAAATTCGTGAATGAAGGCATCCCATCTTRTTGAGATGCTCCTCAACAAGTTTACTTCTCATTTTTAGATAGTGGAAAATCTGAAGGGTGTTTTTGTATGTAAAAAAAGGCGTCGTTTTAGAAACGAATCAAAGTAATTAACGTAGATGGTTTGCAATATGGTGACCACCGCCGCTCTTTTGAGATGGCTCTTTTCACCAGCAATGTATACTGACGATTCGGGATGGACGGGTTTTCATTWAAAACAGCCAAAAGGAGGGTGTATTTTAACTGCCGAAAGGAATTGACTACAGAGAGATTAAGGTCTATCTTAGAATCGAGATCTGATCAAATCTATGAACTGATGAACAGGACGGGTGGATCACAGCACTCTTTGACAGAGTCAAATTAAGTAGAGTGTTTGTACAGCAATTGTTACAAGATGCACACAAAAGTCCCAGTGTATTAAATGATTTAATTTAATCTTTTCAAATCACAAGCATATTAGGAATCTTTTAGAAAATGAACTGGCTGTTTTTGTTCTCCTTATCTGCATTGATTTCACTTGATTTATAGTTTCTAATTTGTTGTGTAGCTACAGCTGGACCCGTCCAGTGTGAGGTTTTATTAAAGAACTCTGCCTTAAGCGGTGCCCGTCTAACTTTCTTAAAGAATGACACTTCTGCGATAAACTCCTCTCCCTATTGTTTGTCATCTTATCAAGCAAGATCTACAGTCTTGATTTCTCAAAACGACTGATATCGCTTACAAAATCTGTTTTTCCCGTAACTCATTCAGAGCAGTATAATCTTAAACTGCAATTTGAAACGAAGATCTTCAAGCTTTTTTAAACCCTTTTAGCCCTAAGATTTTATCAGTGCGTTGTCAGTGCAAATCGATATTTCCTTTATGGTTTGGGCAAGCGGACTTTTAGTGTATTTATATTTGAGGAGTCGAAGTAAGGRGAAACGTAACGGACTTTGTTTGATAGTTGGTGTAGTATTGCGATTCATTTCTCGGTTTTTAGATTAAGCTCGAAATCAATACCAATCAGCCTTGGCCCGAAAATGTGTTTTTCYTCTGTGAAAACTGTAAACCAGATAAAAACACCCAACKTAATGATTATATTGTAGTTAAGTTTATAATACAGACAAAAAGTAAATAAAATAAAACACATACACACAAAAAGGTTTTGCTAAAAACGTTTATTTGATGGGTGAAATTTGTAGTTACATTTCGTGACGAACAATTACCTTAAAATAATAATACTGCKTAAGTCTACCGATTAAGAATGTCGACATTTAATAAATACTGTACTTTAGAGAAAGTAAAAATCTAGGTTTATTATAGCTAGTAGTTTATCTAACGAAATACATGGTACTTGATGTTCTCCTCACTTTGTTCGAAAAAATGAAAAACTGAAGATATCGTTCGAATCTCCCAAGGGAAGCTGCCGTCGAAATTTAGGTCGATGCACACTTCGGAGATGGTTTTTGTTACCAATTTAACATTGAGTTTCATTCAGTCTCTATGGCATCAGTTTCTTTAAGACTTCCAGCAGTTTTCTTTTCTCGAGCTCGACGATTCTGAAACCATATCTTCACCCTGTGCTCCGTAACGGAAAGTAATGTTGAAAGTTGACGCACTTCTGAACTCGAAAGGTAATGTGATTCGACGAACTTTGCCTCTAGCGCCGCCAGTTGGTTTGAGGAAAATGGAATTCGGGGATTTCTGTCTAGTTTGTGCTTGCGGGTTCCTTTCCGTGATTTTGATCCTAAAAAAAGATGAAAAGAGTAAAGAATATAAATTAAGTTTTCCCTTCAACGAAAAAAGTGTTTAGTATCGTATCTATCCTGTAATGTTAACTCTATTAGAACAAGCCCAAAAAACAATACACAAAATTTGGTCGCTGATTCGAAAAAAAAAGAAACGAATAACTTTCCAATAGTTAAAGGCCGTATCCGAATATTTTCGTTGTAGCAGAAATTATAGCATGATTGTTCATAATACGAACATCCGTTCTTTAGAAAAGTGGTCTGAACGCATCAGAAAGCGATGTTTCTTTAAAAAAAATCACAGAGTAAAGCCATATTCGAAATATACAATCGTTATTATTCGAACAGACTAGTATTCATGTGATACGTAATGGTTATGGCATTGTTAGTATGTTTAATGCTTGGTGCGCTTTAAGTCACAGCCAGTTGATCATTCGAAAATCGCTCGCAAATTTTGAAGCAGTCGAACTAGCGTCGCCTTTTTATCAGCTTAAATGTTAGAACTCACCTTATCAAATCATAATCATTAGTATATAATAAAAACAATATCATGGGAAAAAGTACAAAGTGCTGGTTAGAGAGCTTATCTTTCTTAGGACACAATCGGGTTAGATTTGTTAAAAGACGTAATCTTTAAGCCTGGAATGAAGTACCTTCGAAGGATAGCAAATTGATTCTTGTAGATCGTTGGCCAATATTAAGTTCCTTTGATGGCTGTCAGCGAGGAAAAAGGACTTAATCAAGCGTAAAATGAAGTTYGGCTAACCCGTAATCAGGGCGTTTCCAGTAATTGTTCGTTTCGTCTTCATTGTTTGTGAAATTCCAATGCTACAAAGCTCGAAACTTTAGTGACATTTTGACACGAGGCTTTAGCTAGTGTGATGCTCGTGAGACAAGCGTCAGGTTCCTTGGTGATAATCCACTATACAGAACTTCTTCCTTATAAAAGATATTTTMATTTGGAAAAGTCTTATAAAGAAAAGGCTCACTGAAAGTCTGATACTTACTGGTCGTTTTAAAGATAACTAATTAAGAAAAGGCTTGGAAAAAGAACTAGATTTGTATCAAGCGTAGATTCGAATGATTTTGAATTTTTTTGTAAAATTATTATCTAAACCGAGTAGAATTGGTTAGTTTAGTTCATAACCGACTCGAAAAAAACAACAACACATTTTAGTCATTCCAAAACAATTTACAAGGAATTGTGCACGTACACTATTAAGGCCGAAAAATGTACGACGTTTTCATCTTCTTATAATCTAATAAGATTCCTGAGTTTGTACAAATCAAGACTCAGTCTAAACAACAAAAGCAAACACTTAATGTTTTTGTCAGTTGCAGAGATTCACGATCTTTTCAGGTTTACTGGAATAGGAATCAAAATTGCTATCGTAATTTCGTAACCACTGGAATACGAAAAGAGTAATTCGACTACTAAACAACTGTTCGTAAGAGAAATGGTCCTCGCCTTTTAAAAATGGTATTAATCTAGTCCTGGGTGTTTCGTGTTTGCTACAATTACGATCCATTGTGTGATGAAATTGTAGAAAATAACGTGAAAATGTTAATAAAAGTTCTTTATATTTCTTTATCGGGTGTCTCTAGCAYAATGCTTGCCGAAAAGTAACCTGAGAGCGCAGCGATTTCACGGTTACAGAGCTGAACATGTGCTTTTGACATTTTTTCATTACAAGTTGTTGCGCTTATGTGCATTCAGCTTGAGATGTGATGAAATGACCATTTTAGCTGGTTTGTTTGTGTGATGTTTCCTTGAAGTCACTTTCAAAGTTGTGAACAAGACAACACGTCTGTCTTTCCTATGTACATAAACTGACCCGCCATCTTGAATAACAAACCAAACAATGTTATTTTTCTAAACGTTTGCGGTTCTTTTAGTGGATTTCCTGTACATTCTAAGTTTCCTGTTYAAATATGGTTGAAATGTCGCCAAATAGCAAAGTCGCCATAGGTGAGCGAAAATTGAATTGTCAAGTTCCATTGGACGCTGTACAGAACAGCTCTTCTTATGATATATGCATACATTGACTGTCTTCAAAAACAGTGGCATTGGGGTAAGGTTTTTCTACGGTGAAAATGAAATGTAGTAAAGCTTTTCTAATTCTTTCTTAGTCCAGTGGAGCTCTATTGTTCTACGCAACAAAGTTATCCAGGACTACGAGTGGTGCTCTGATGACTTAGAATAAAGGATTTCTTGGTCAATGCGGTTACAAATTATTTCTGTATTATTATCTATCAGTGATTCAGATCCAAATGTTTAATAAATGTGGTTTCGCCTTACACCCTTAGATTTAGTAAACAAATGAGTTCTGTTATCTAAGGTCTAGTGTTGCACTGTATACAAAAATTACTCTTAACGACATGCATCATGATGAACAACTATGCCATCCACATGGCTCACACGATACAAAAAACACTTTCTCTCAAGTGGCCACTCGACTTTATTTTCAACAGCAAATTATCAATATCAGCTATCTCAAGTACGAGATCCAATAAAACATCTTTCATTCGCACCTATTTTGTTTTCTTAAGCACCTCATTCAATTAAAAGACAACAGTTTCACAAAAGGGTTTTCATTTGTACCTCACGAGATCTATGAGTTATTGTAAACTTACGTGGTATTTTAGGTGGACAGTATCTCGTGTAAGATAGCCAAGGTAAACGCACAAAGATGCTTTCATTTGTTTTGTCTGTAGCGTCATTTTGAGAAGTCTTCTTGGAATGGACGCAAGCTATCCGACTTTGGACTGGGTTGGAACGGCGAGCGCCGAACGAATCTTTTCTTAAGATGTTCTCAATTGAAAACGATAAAAACGGTTTATCCGGCTGGTCATGCTGATTGTTTTGACTTTGCTCGTTGTTAATGCTCTTGGTTGCGGACATCTTAGCGTTTTGTGGTCAGATGAGCGTTGAGCCTAATCCTGACCATCTGTCCCAGTTTCTATACTGACCTTCCTACAAATCTTCCCTTGGCTGAATACAAAGCTGGATTTTGTTTCTGCATGTTTACCCATGCATACTTCAAAAGAGGCTTAATTCAAGTTTCATTATGGAGTCGTTGATCAAAGCTATGACAGCTCACGTCAACTTTATCCGTAGTTTCGACAAATCCAGCTTCTTATCGAATATTTCCCCTGTCAGCGAATCGTCACTTGGTGCCTATTAATCCCGGATTATTTCATCTGACTCGACCCAAATCCTTTAAAGCTTGTTTTTGGATTTATGAAAGGTGCACACATTAGGTGCAATCATTTCCCTTTACTACTTGAACCATTACTTCTGAGAGCGTTATAATAGTTAGGGTTAATTTGAGTACCGCGCGAAACGATTTTCAGTAAATTGCTATTAAATCGTCGATTCATTAAAAAATGAATGATTATTTATAAGCACTTGAGGTTGTCAAATTGGAATGGCTTACGGAAAACGAACCTAGAGAAGTCGCTTAGATGTCAACCAATGAAAGATCTAATGGTTTAATATGTATAAACTACGATTTTTGCGTTAAAAACGTATTTTGGAAATTAAAGTTGAAAGATTTTGCCTCTAGACATTTTTGCTTCGAAAGAAATTAATCSAAAATAAATCTTTATGAATAACGGCGAAGAATATCAACATCTTATTGAACAGCTTCTCAGTATATAAACAAATCTTTTTGTACTTTTAATTCTTTAATTCTTTTTGTACTTTTTTGAATTTTTTGCTGCACCAATTCCCTGAAGGACCATCGAAAAATTGTGTGACCAAGATAGGCGATTGACTGATTGAGAAGGACACAGGTAAACGCCTCAATGATACCTAGAGGAAATTTAATTTAAGTGCGAGCAGGRCCAACGAATTAAACCGTTTACAAACACATGCTCAAAGCAAATTAGAAAATCGAATATTGCTGGGACATGATTGGTCAAAAACAAATGATAGGTTATATAGTGGTCTTTGGACATTGGGGCGTATACCTCGGCCTTCAACATGAATAGGATTTGCATCATTGATAGCCGTATTAACAGACTTCAAGCATCTGCAGTCAAATACTGCAATGGAGAAGTTAATTGAATAATTTTTCAACTAAATAAAATCTTTTTCAAGCATCTTTCATTTCCTTTTTATGGCTGAAGTTCCTTCATCTTGTTCAGTGTTAATTACTTTGGAGATGATAGGACATGTGAAACAATTGTGTCGCTTCGTTCCAATTACTTTGAAGACCGACAGGTCAACAAGCTTCATCGAACTCACAAAACCGAGTCGAATTGAAATTTAACGTTCGCCCTTTTTCAGTTTGTGGTTTGAACACTTCACAACTTGGCGACAATAGCCGTTTGAATAATTAGATATATYAAGACTTGGTGAGAAGAGCTGTGTTGCACGCGCCAGGATCCACCGTCCTAACACATTGTGTGTAATCATCTTTTAAATGCATGCTAATCCTGCAAGATTGATTAAATGAACATAAGATGGCACCTAACAAACATAGGATCTAAAACGTAGATACCCTGTACAATAGCATTGAAACCCTAGAGTCCGTTAATTCCTCTTGAAACATTCCTTCATTAGTCAGACAAATCACACTGCTTAGTTTTTCTACCGAAGCATCTTACACATGCAAAACAAGAAACAACGAGGGACAACAATGAACTAATAAATCAGTAAACCTTACACTATGAATCGTGGATCAAAGCCCTACAGACGACAAATCCGTTATTCATTATTTTTTCCGTTTCATAATCTCGTGTAAAGAGCTGCTTCCGATAATCTCTTTCTTTGTTCAGTGCTAGAAAAATAGATAGGTATATTGCTGTTAATCCTAAGTTCACAAGAACAGTTAGCACAAACACTCATTAACAATAATCCGTGACTTCGAAGATTGATTAAACTACGCTCTGCGCATGAGGAAGACTCCATAAAACTAGCAAAGGACCACGAATTCAAAGCTCATTTATTGAATGTCACATAGGATTTTACTGAAGAAAGTCAGTGACTAATCCTTAACTAAGCCAGATTACGTCAAGGTGGCTTTACCGAAGAACGTGAGGCATGCACTGACCCAGAGCACCGAGCAAGACTCAATGAAATTGTCAATACAAAGATAGTAATAAAAGAAGAGCGCCGGTAGTAATACGAACAATTAATACAACTCCAAATTAATATATGTATTAAACACTCAAACCTAATTTTATTAGCCRTTCGGCATTAGTTTTTTAATGTTGTGTACCTTTTTCAAATTTCAAGCCARTGTCGAATAAAAAGTTCTTAAAAACGTCAGATCCATCCTCTGAATACAGGATGAACCTGTCAGATTGTAGACAATGCGTTTTGGGTGGTATTGACTAAAACCTTCATCTTGCTCAAACTATTCACAAATCAAATTGGAATTCACTTCATAGCCCAATGTTTGCCGTAATGAGCGGAAACGCCTTTGGTTGAATGTAGCTGTACTCTCTTACTTGATCGCTCTTTTGTTATCGAACCATTTTACAAAAATTGAACTATAATAAAAACTCTAATTGATCGGCTCATTTATTTGATTACATCAAGATTATTGATTATACTTAGCGTTTAAAACGATGATTTTCCATAATTAAAGTTAATAGACTTCAATGAGCTGGATAAGCTGTTGAAAGCATTCTCCTCCAGGACACGCACGATGGAGGGTAGAGTTGTTGTTTTTCCATCCGTCTCTAAACTAGACAGACAACAGCATGTATCTCACAGTCGTATTGGTTCGAGCTTAATACATGTTTACTTGGTGATTAAAGTTTGATATTAAAACTATAATTGAATTATTCTCTATGATCAGAGTACAGTACATCTAAATGAAACTGTACAGGTATTTTTGGGAATGGAGAGATGCGTGTCAGAGTAAAAAGTARACGATCTAGATCTAAGTAATAAAAATTGATTCCAGAAGATAGACTTAACAATGCACATTTAAAACYCAACTTTTAAAACAATAGATCGGCTTGTCAGGACAACGCCGGACTTCTAAGAAGGCTGGCGCCATATAGTACATTGGTTATGGATGGAGATCAATCTGTTGTCCAACCTAATGACCTACAAAAAAAGTTTTGCAAAGTTCTGTCCAAGAAGCTTATTCACTGTGTTTATAAAGGAATCTGAAGATTGGTCATCCAACAAGTGTTAGGGATGGTTGAAGTAACATGCCATGAGCTATATTTTRATTTTGATGAAATTGTCATTTATGTTTATCAAAAAAAGATCCTTCGCAATAAAACGCACAGTGTCCTTTAAAACAGTAAACAARATATACTTGGAAATGTTGTAAAAATCTCTCAATTCACAAAYGCTTCAAGTATTTTGTTAGTAATGYAATCCTCAAGTGAGGCTACAGAAGTAGCTCTATCAAGMCATGCAAAGAGCTATTCATTTCGGAATGATCTGCAATGTTTGTCGTCGGTGACAATTGTAATCGTGATGGCGACTCTGMGGTGCCTGTTCTKGTCGCATGTTTATTATCGATTACTTTATCTCAAKTCTAGAAGGAGGCAATAATAACATCACTAGAGTTGATATTCAAATACTCTAATCGTACATACAACATACTTATTTGAAAATGAAAACTTCATTAAGGCTCAGGGAGAGACGTGAAAAGAATGACGCGGAGTAAGTGTTTCAGCTTTTTTTGTTTATTTTTCTTAYTCCTCGTCAAAAGTACTGGGCAGGTCTGTTCAGATCTTTAGAAAGTGAGAAACATCACACACGTATAATAGCCAACGGAACTAGCAGAAGAACTTAATTTCTTTTTGTTTTTACATGCACGGTTGTTACATTTAGGGTTAGATGTAACTTTTTTAACCATAGTTGACAGAGTATCTAATATGCGCTGTCTCCCGTCAGGTCTACAGTAGCAAACATTGTAGTTCAGCTTAGCCTCTATGAAAGCAAGATATTGATATCAATTTTGAATACCTAACACATTATTCGATCGAGCATTGTATATTAACAAACAGCCAATGCACRACCGAAAGTTGTTGTGGGTATTTATTGTTGATAAACAATCTCTYCGTCATCTGTTGCAAAACACAAAAATATCAATATATATAGCACTCTAAATATGATTTATAGATCTAGATCTTTTGTAATAAACGTTTAAACGAATCTTTGCTGCATGGGACAGCAATAAAACAAGATGGCTTACCTTGCAGTTTGTCTCTGGAATTAATGAATTTAATTACCACTGCCTTATAAAGGATYATCTTGCAATACTCCAAAAGCTACTTTGGGTACTAATATAGATATGATGAGTTGTTTGAGGTTTTTTTTCCTTTAAACTACAGCTAGTTTGTATGGTTTGTGTGTACAACTAGTTGCAAAAACGCTTTCATTTAGKCAAATAGAACAATGTTTTTAGTAAAATGGCCGAATATAGTAAAAAGAAGAAACGAACCGTTTGGCCTAAAATTCTTTTGTCATCTAATGAAAAATGATCCCTTGTTTTACTAATGCTATTTACTATCTTTTAAATGATGCATATGTTTAACAGTGATAAAACCCGTGAAACAAAATTTGACTATTAAAGTGTGATCGTTCAATAGACACAAAAGGTGAATGCAATTAGAGCTTACCAAGGTATATTAGCGTATTTGACGGGTTTTTTTACTTCACTCCACGAGGATATCAGAGAACACCCGCTATCAGAGAACAATAAAATGGCGACTAGATTCAGACTAGATCTATCTGGAAGTAATCACGCAAATTCTGATCTAAAGTAGCCACACATGACTGATATTAATCGACAAAACTTCACCGACTTCAAACTTACATACAGAAGGACACCATTTCGTGAATGGAACAAATACGGACATTCAATCCCAGTAAAGCTCCAATGGAGTACTAATGATACTAATCTCACCATATTTAAAGACTAACGAGCATCCAAGAACCTCTGCGATCGTTTATTTTGTTTTACAAATGATCCCTTGTTGAAAGGTCTTTTTTGATTGGYTCAAAATCAAAGATGGCGAATTTTCGTAAGTAATATATGCGCAAATTGAAAGCACGTGGGACTTTCGAGTTGTTTCCTCTAYTCACCTGAAATCTTAGAGTATAGCGCGAGGTTGCTTATATTAATTTGTTGAAATGTCATGAAATAGAACAAGATAGGCGTTAAAAATGCTTCTCCTATGTGTGACACAATGAARAATTGTATTTTTCTGTTTTTCTTTCTAGTACAACATGCATGCAAGACTGATATGAGTACTATACACAGTCACATTGTCAGGAAAACATGGHGAAATAGCCGACATGGTTCACGAACAATCATATTGGTCTTAGAAATCGTTAATCTTGACTTGAGACCCACTAAATGTTTGGATGCTAATCTCTTCAGTAACACTTTTTTCAATACAAATCATTGGAGTCCTTTGTCCATGGAGTCCGTGGGTGGTTCTACCAACACGTATGTAATAGAAGTTTATTATATGAATCATTCTATTCTGTCAATCTCCATTTTACTGCAGCTTATCTCCAGGAGGTTCGATGTATCTATTACAAAATCCATTGACAGTTGTTGTGATGATACAGTTATTAACGGTTCCGTTGTCAAGCGCTTCCATTTGAGCWAGTGAAAGGACCGCGGGAGGTTCTTCCAATATWCCACTGATGCCTTGTAAGCCTAATACTGGTTAATTATCTTTTCAGTAATCCATGATTACTTTGTTAAAATTGGTCAGCTAAGTTAAAAACGGCCGCTMTCTTTACATAAATTAAAAGTAAACAACTCTCCTTTGGTACTGCAAAGCATACTTGDAATTACTTTCTTAGTAGAAAATTAGAAAGTTACCAGAGRCATCCAGGGRACCWAAATACAAGAACAAAATGGAATGCTTGTTATCAATTTGAATACTTGTTCTGATTTGCATAACAATCCTATTTGCTAACTACAAGAACTGTTGATCATATACACACAGTTCATTTCCGGTACTATAATGCATGTACTGTACATGTGATCGCTCTATTAGTTCGTCATCTTTATATGTTCATGGTTTAGCAATGACTCTTATGTTGCTATRTATCGTCTAGTTCCTATCAATAGCAGTCTAAATGACTGGAAGTATAAAACTAGGAAGTTTTAAAGGCCCTCTTCTCTAATGCATCCAAATGACGTTTMATATCTGAAAGCATTATTAGTGTTCATGGAAAGAATGGCACGGCAGMTAGCCAAACCTCAAGGAGATACAGCGACCTTAGAAAACAAAGTGGTAGCTTAGTTCAACTGCATTGTGTCTTTGGAATTTTCGGAGGGTTTAGGGCTTTTAAGAAGTCATTCTAAGAAACATATGTCCAATTGATCCACGTCCTACCATAAACAACATGTGTTTGGCCAAGACAGTGTTAAAAGCAGGCGTATTTGCACCTCTCACTGGGGCTTTAGTTGCCATCAGTTGAACAAATAAGGCTTGACATGGCAAGCATTAAATTTGTATTATAACAACAGCTGTATACTATCGTTGCCCCACCACATACTAGTTGACGACATAGACACACCTAWRCTGATCCTTTATTTAGGCYACAGTATTTTATTAGTATACGCAAAATACATGAGGTGCATGAATGTAGACATTTTCACAATGCAAACTTCCTTCAGCTTATCTTTCATTTTTTCAAAGCATGAYTTGCTTTATCAACATTAACAAGAAATAATAACGACATTTGCCTAAAATACATGAGTCCCATTTCGTTGTTCACTTAGTACATTCATGAAGATCTTAATTAATTTATTTTTTTTACATTCAGGATCTCAATTATAAACGTAATTCTTTCGTTCAGAGTCTGGCGGAATATTAAACTGGTCTAAACCACCCAGGTACCAGTCTTCTGCCATGGCYAAGTACAGATGGTGGGGATGTTATCGAACTTTCCCCATTCCAGGAAATTTGAGATTTCTTTTCTCGYGCGCGTCTGTTTTGAAACCAAATTTTGATGCGGTGCTGAGAAAGGCTGAGAGTATCTGAGAGTTCTGATACTTCAGGCGTAGAAAGATATCTTGTTTCAAGGTATTTGTGTTCAAGTGTCATCAACTGCGATGTTGAGAAAGGTACTCTTGGATTCCCACTAGACTTGCGTGTGCAACTCTTGCGTCGTTTAGCTCCTGAGAATTGAAAAAAAGRGAATAATCATCAAAAGTGCTACAATATTTGACACAATTTATACAACTTGTATTGAAGTGTGAACAGATTATGTACATGATCGCCCTGCTCGACGGTGACCACCATGCCTGTCTAGGCGTCAGTGCACTTGTTTTGTCTACAAAGTTCTGAAGGTTATCAAATAAATTGTCTTGTTCACTTCTGTTAAGTTATTGTTTATATCCTTTTTGAAATCTTTCCGGGTTAAAATCACGAACCAAAGCGATTGCAAGYACAAACAAGTATGTTTCTACAGTATGATTCTTACATTAGCTATCATAAATAAACTATAGACGTGCAAGCATCATTATATAACAAACTGCAGTAATATGTGACATCATGGAGAACGTTCTAAAGCAAGTTATGTATGAGCTCCTTTGTTTTATCAGAGGACTAATACAGCTTGACCTCGTGTTTAACCGCTATTAAACAGTTGCTAAATGCTCTTTTACAGCCCTAAAAGACCTCATACGACTGTTGAAAGTCACAGTATATCGTCAGTGTTGTCTATTAAAGGTTAAGCTGTGATTAACAAGCAATCGTTATCAAACAACTGATATAATTCGATCCCAAAGTGGTTATTGGCACCCGTTAAGGTTTATACATCTTTAATAAAGCGGCATTCGAACATTTGAACAGCAAAATTTAAGCTGAAATAAATTTTGCGTTTTGATTTAGCAAAGTATCGATTACTTACTGGGAAGTTTGGGAGGACTGTATCTTGTGTAAGACAACCATGGTAGGTCAACTAACGAATCAACAGGGTTTTCTTTTGCTGTTGCCAGTCCTTGTGAACAGTGGACATCCTTGGTTTGCCGCTTGCTGTCGATTGCGAGAATTCTTTCTATTGAAAACGAGAGCTCCATCTTTGCTGCGCGAGGCTTCTCAGATTTTGTGGGAGACGTTTCAGTGCGTTTCTGCGACATTGCTTGCTTAAGTATTGCTCGTGCTCTGGGGGCGGCTTGTAAGATGAAAGCATACTCTGGATAAGGAATTTTATTTAGTTCCAGTATATTTACACATCACACGAAATATGTCATCCTTTTATTAGGAACAGATGACCAAATGGATTATACAAGATTAATCCGACCGGGTGCATTTAGGGAGGGCCGATAGAGTACGGCTCAATAGTTTTACTTATATGCATTCTTTAGACCATGGAGATCTTGATGCTCATAATTTTGAAGAACAAAGAGATTTATTGAGTAGGGATCCTTTTTTGGCGGTTTCCAAAGCATTTCAAAGTTGTTGTTGATAGAGAGTGATCAAAATTTTTCTATTGATATTTGATTACTTTAGCACAAAAACCATTAGACAGTATTTAGGGGGCTTTCTATTCTGGTTTGACAGCTAGTCAAGATCTTGAGAAGACTACAAAGTACCACCAAGTACAAAACACCTAAAAACCTGGAATAAAAGGCTAAATTCAATTAGTAAATGCAAGCAAGCTCTGCCGGTTCCCAAAAAGCAAAATATGGGACCAAAATGTATATGGAATGTAGTACATTAAAGAAGTCTTTGTGTTCAGATGTTTCCATTAAGTAGTCATCACTTTTAAGATACTGGTGATAATACTACACTTGAAAGAATTGCCACAACAATAAACTCATAAAAACTTCACACAAAACAAAGCGTACTCTTACCAAAAACATTTGACTTTAAAATTCATTTCTTTCGTTATTATGGTATTCATTG